GAATGTCTACAACATTTGGGATATTTTGCATGATCTCTAGAAAACCCAAAATTTGGGACTTAGTCCCAGTCCCCCCAAAAGCTACACTCCAGTTGTGGGGTTAGTTAGTGCAAAGATAATGAACAAAGACAAAATACAAAGTGAATGCTACCTGTGTAGAACATAAAAATAAAGGGTGTGAGAATTCATTACTGGTAATAGCTTTCTGGGTGTGTGACATGCTGGAAAGGAACGGGAAAAGGGGAAGTGAGTCTGGTATTGCCAGGAAGGGGAATGGGTTGACCCAAAGCAGAGGAGAAAAGCATAAGACTTGTGGGAAGAATAGAAAATTTTCCCCTCCTGCATACCTCATCTCCTCCTGCCACCACTTTCCACCTCATCACTCAGCTCAAGTCTGACTCCTCTCCACGCGCTGGACGCAGTTTCTGAGACTTTACAGATGCCACCTCTTTCATACGCTCCGACTCTCTTGTCTCTGTTTCCTTGGCCACTGGCAGGCATTTCTGAACCTGACTACCGGAAAAGCTTCTCTACCATCTCCCCTCTCCAACCCATTTTCCAACATGTTGTCAGGGATAACTTTCCAAAAGCAAATTTGACCCTATCACTCCTTTCCTTGAAATCTTTCAGGAACTCCAAATCACGTCCACAGTAAAATCCTTAAAACACGCCGGAGGATTCTTCACAGTGCAACCCCTCCCTCCCACCACAGGCAACTACATGGAACTCCAGAGCCTCCTTCTAATCTCTATGCCACTGTGCCTGCCTGGTCCTTCAACAGCTGGCCCAATAATCCTGCGCAGCTGTCTCCCATTCTCCTCCCACAGTTGTATACACCTCAATAATGCCACTGCGAATGTCTGGTTCCATGGACCCCCCCTCTCCATGACCAAACGGTGCATCTTACTCATTTCTAGTCTCCCAATACCCAGCCCAGCACCTAATCCTGCACACAGCATAGCAGCTTTGCTCAACTAATGTTAATAGAGCAAAACTGGGGCTAGGACCAGATTTGCAGGTGATTAAACATGAAGTAGGTAGTGAAGGGGATAGAGATTGTGTGGGAAATCAGTGAAAAATGGGCCAATAAAAACAACTGAGGGGTACAGCTGGACCATTATCTCTCAGAGGTAATGGGCCTCTGCCCACCCAACACCCGCCCCAATGACATGACCATTAGCGGTGGGGATCAGAGAGTCAATTCTACCATAAACAGAGTGGGAACCCAAAGCAACTAACCATCTAAACCAAAAAACAATTTGCTTGAACTACCTGACTTGTGTCTGTAACTCCCTTGTTTTTTTAAGAACACTTTTCCTCCCTCAGTAAAGTCTGAATCATAGTAATGCAAGAAACAAAATAAAACAACATACTAAATATAATGGCTACATTCTGGCTATAAAAGATGTTTCTATCACTTTCTTCAACAGCAGGAAGAGATGTTGAATTCAACTCACTGATTAATTGGGGGCTGGGGAAGGGTGGGGTGTGTGTTCCTGGAAGCAAGGCCACCAAGGACCCTCTTCCACACTTCAGGCACACAGAACCTGCCTCGACATGTGATCTCCACCAGCACCTGTGCAGTAGGGCTGCAAGCCAAATATTTCCTGCCATTACTGCCTCGATGGTACATCAGCAGTAGGTTGCTGAAGCTGGAGAAAATAACTGGCCTTCTACAAAAATGCCCTCATGCCAATAGGCTGCCTCATTTACAAACTTTGGAAACAATTTCTGGTGGCCATGAGGTAAGCAAATATGGAAAAGCCACCCATGGTGAGATGTGCCGCCTTTGATTCTCTAGGTCAGTTCATTGCAAACAAGGAGGCAATCAATCCTTATGCTGAAAGTGCTAAACAGTTCTCCAAAAAATAAGCAGAACCCATTGGTGGTGGTGGTGGTGATGGAGGGGTCGGGGAGGAGGAAAAGAAAACCCAAATCCCAGTCTACGAGGGGGCACACTTCCATATATGTATGTAAAACATCGATATATCAGGGACCACATCTAGTTTAAAAAGTTTTTCTTTTTGTCTTTTGCTAATTAACTGATGATAGATGTTTTACCCAGGAACTTATGTCAAAATTGCTCTCCTGCTCTGAACTATAAAGTTAATATTTATAGAGAGATCATAGAAATCTTCAGTACCTGAGTGGGGTTTAAATGATTTCAGAACTATAAGTCGTGACAATCAAGTACTATGAGAAATGTTAGTCAACAGTGTTAACGCAGTCCTGCATTACAAAACTGAAAGCAAAGGTTAAAATTATAATCATTTCACCAGAGTCTCCTCTCCCATAGTTGGAGATTATAATTTTTTTTCATAAAAGGTTACTTCTGGTAACCTTTTAAAAGGCTTATTATTTTACAACGGCAAACACTTTCCATTAGCATGGTAAATATTCTCTTGATATAAAAATCACTGCAACCCTCATTAAATGTATATAACCACCAAAAATTGCTGAGACATATTTAAATATGTGTTGCCTGACATAAAATATGCTGAATTGAGCGCATACACACACTAAAGTATTCATATCAGTAGTCTATGGAGGGTGGATAAAGCAGGGGTAGAGATGTTTACTTTTTCTTAAATATATCTACACTATTTGACATAGATTACACCTGTAACTAAAAATAAAAAGAACCTATTGCCACTTTAATTTCCATTTTGGTTTTTACCCTTATTTATTTACCATACTCAGTAAAACAGTGACTCTCACCATAACAGATAAGAGTATTTTTCTATGAAACAGACTGCTAATCTTATCACACTTTTTAAAGTTTGCGCCTATGGTTTATATTTTTATGTAATCACAATTTGCTACTAACGCCTGCCAAATACTATTGGGTTGTCGGAAAAGTCATGATACATTTTTGTAATGAAAAACATAGAAAAAATACATCATGACTTTTCCAACAACCCAATAGTAGCAGTATACATGATCTGACAGCTGGAGTCACCAGGTGGAAAGTGTATTAATCTGTGCAGGTCTTAAAGTCAGAAAACCTGAATTTGAACCTTAAGTAGCTGTGCACAAAGCTAGGCAAACCAACCTGTGAGCTTCAGTTTTCTCTCCTATAAAAAATAATACTCTTTGCTTCCTCCATAAGAACGGATACCTAATAAATTGTTCTCAAATGACAAGTAAAGCTAAACCATGGAGTATAACCCCCTGTATTCAATTCGTCCCTGGTCAAAAAGGAAGTTATCAAATCTTCTGAATTTAAATGAGCAGTGACTACAATAGCCGAGATATAAAAACTTAATTGACTGACTACGGATGAATGGATAGAGAAGATATGGTACGTACAAGTATACACGTATACACACACACACACACACACACACACACATACACGAATAAGTATTCAGCCTTGAGAAAGAAGGAAAGCCTGTCATTTGTGACACCATGGATGGAACTTGAGGGCATTATACTGAGAGAAATAAACCAAACAGAGAAAGACAAATACTGTGTGATATCACTTATATATGAAATCTAAAAGAGCTGAACTCATAGAAAGAGAATGAGGAGGGGGAATTGGGAGATGTTGGTCAAAGGGTACAAACTTCCAGTTGTAAGATGAATAAATTCTGGGGAGCTAATGTACAGCATGGTGACTACAGTTAACATTGTGTCATAGGTGTATACTTTACAGTTGCTAAGAGAGTAGATCTTAAATGTTCTCACCACAAAAATGAAGTGGTAATTACCTGATGTGATGGAGGTGTTAGATAAGGATACGGTGGTAATCAGTTTGCAATATAGTATAAATGTATCAAATCCACACGGTGTACACCTCAAACTTATACAATGTTATATGTCAATGACCTCAGTAAAGATGGAAAAACTAACTAAATAAATAAGCTGTGCCTAGGATGTGAAAGGAAGAAAAACCACACCTAACTCCTAAAATTAGGTTACTTCTCAAGTTATTAGAGAATAGAGCTTTAGGACATGACAGGAACTGTTATGTTTTCGTGATCTGGCATCCAGGCAACTGAGGCGGAGTCTACTGAACAGACCAGCGCGGTAACTTAATTGCCAGTCTTCTGGAGGGACCCCATGTGTCGTTATTCCCTGACAGCGTTCTATCAGGGGCCTGATTAGCTCCATAAGGCTCCAGCGGCTTTCCCCTTCCTCACTTCCTCACCACTTGTTTGCTTTTTCACTCTTCAACAGCTCTCCCTCCGTTCTGTTTACAACTTTTATGCACTTTAAACTCTAATTAGGAATGGGGAACGCCGGGCTTGCCCCTTCCCCCCAGTTCCAGGGGCCTCTGGACGAGTAGGAAATGCCTGCGGTCCACCCTACATAAGAGCTTCTGCCTCGGACCACTTCCCCTGCGGGCTCTGCGGATGAAACAGGGCCGCCAGCCCACGCCCACAAATCTGTTCCCGAGGCCGCCCCACACGGCCCCCATCCTCCCTCCCAGGGCCGTGCATTCACTTTAACCTAATGGGCTTCAGGTGGGTCACACCCCCGCTCTCCAAACCCGGGCCGGCTCCCCTAACCCCGCCTACGGGGCTCGTCACCGACCCGGACTATCCGGATTCCCCTGCGCTAGTTCGAAGCGGACGAAATGACCCAAAATGTGTTGTTTCTGAGTCCAGACTTCCGCAGGCAGAGGCGTCCCCGTGTCTCCCGTGACTGTTCAGGGGCTGCGTCCCTTCCCCAAACCAGAAACTGCTGCCCAGGCCCTGCGTGCCCCGCGCCTCCCACGCCGGCCGCCGCCAGCGGAGCCCGGAGTCTACCCGGGTCCTCCGCGCGAGGCGGCCGCATTGCGGCCCCGGGACGGCGGCGCGGACTTCCTTCCCCCGCCCCGGGCGCCCGCCCGCGCTCCTCGGAGCTGCCGAGGGTCCCCGGGAAGCAAACCTTCCCCGCGGGGGGGGGGGGGTGCAGCGCCCACGCACACTCCCCAGCTTCCTCCCGCGTGGGCGCGGGCTTTCGGGTGCGGACGCGGGTACCCCGCGCCGGTGCACTCCGCGGAACCCCTTGCTCACCGATATCTCCATCCTCGTCGTCCTCCTCCTCCTGCTCCATTTCTAACAAAACGTCCCTGTTCATCATTTGCATGACTCCCCAGAAGGCGGCTCCGAACTTGGCGCGAAGTTGGGGTTCCTGGGTTCCGGAACGACGCGGCTCTCGCGGGCCCAGCGCCTGGGCAGGGACCGCGGGGCGCGTCTCGCTCCCGACTCAGGGTCCGCTGCGCCCAGCCCGCGCCCCGGGATGCCGAGCCGAGGCGGCCGCCGACCCGATCCCAGCGCCCGAGGCTACCACTCGCCACCCGCGAGGGGCCAGGCCACTGAGCATGCCCAGTGCGAGGCGCGGCTGACTGCGGAATGATTGAACTTCCCCCGCTTTATTAAGAGCCCAGAAGGAAGTCGGGAGACCAGAGCGGGTGTTGGCGCCCGCGTTTCTGCACGCAAGTGACCTCGCAGAAGGGGGAGGCGAGAACACGCGAGGGTGGGAGTGAACGCGGCTCCCCCAGACGTTGCCCCCAGACGAGGCAGCTTTCTGTACTAAGGTCATATATGGGCATGTCGTGTAGCTTGCTTTCTTCGACATCTGTTACTGGACAGAGGAAAAGGCTGCTGCAGCTCATGCTAAGAACCCTGAAGGCGAGCCCGTTTGAACGGTGCTTAAAGGCGACGTGGGGCCGATGGAGGATCTTAAAGTATCAAGTACGTTGACTCCAACGTGGGGGGACATGTATTCTGTAGGAGGAAGGGGAGAAGGAGATTACAGAGAAAAGAGGCAAAACTCGTAGATCCTAAGCAACAAAAGGGGGAAAAAAAAAGGACAAAGGAAACTAGACCTAAAGAAACACGTTCACAAAAAGCAAGAGGATTTCCGCATTAAGTGAGGTTTAGAAGGAGAGAGAAGCGCCCCCTACCCCCTCCCGCGGAGCACCACAGGGAGTGGTCGAAGAGGATCAGCCCATTTGGATCTTGAAAAGCTTAGTCCTACGTGTCAAAAAGGCAAAAAGAGCTGAAGACTTCCACTGTGGTTAGATGTAAACTCTACTCTAAAGCGGTGTGAAACACTGTAAAACCTGAGCAAACAAAGCACTGGAAGAAAATTGAGACACAGAGTAAAAGAATGCATTCCTGGAGACCAAAAGGGACAATGGGACAAATCCAAAGGGATTTCTACAATACTTGGAACACACACATGGGGTAGTTTGAAATTCAGGTTCCTACGATCATGAGTCTGCAGAACTTTTTTTCAAAGAAGTTGGTGAATTCAGATGGGTCAGTTTTGACGTCTCAAAAGTGCTAGAGGTGTATGTGAAATCCTTGTTATTTTCGTTGTCTCTGCAACGCTTCTCGTGGAAACTTTTTATACATTTTTCCCCCACTGGATGTACCAAAATTATTGATAATTATAACTATTATGATAACACAAAAGCTACTGTGCATTTTATTCCTCCATACACATATTTTTGATGTTTTTATGTAGGAAAGAAATAAAACATTGAGACTAATCATAAGTGGGGAAACAGCCATGAATATGCATTATATGCATGAAAAAATTACTTTTAAGAAAATATTAAGGGAACATTGTATTTGCTTCTTAAGGAACCTTTTTGAATAAAGAGAATTGTTTTTACTATAAAGAGAAAACATGGGGGGGGGCAGGCATGCTCTTAATAAGGTTGCTGGTTCGACTCCTGCATGGGATGGTGGGCTGCGCCCCCCCACCACCACCACCCCCAACTAGAGTGAGAACAGCGACTGGACATGGAGCTGAGCTGCTAAGATTAAGTTGGAGCTGATGGGTCCTGGAAAAAACACATTGTTCCCCGGAAAAACACATTGTTCCCCAATAAAGTTTAAAAATATATAAATGTAAAGAGAAAACAATACAGTACTCTGAAGATGTGTGGTGGGAGAAAAGATGGAAGAATACAGAAGAAAAAAATGAGGAGGAGAAAAAATTTTTTTAGTGAACTCTTTCCCCGAGAGCTCATGGGAACTACTAAAATAGAAACTCGAAATTCCAGAGGTATTTTGGCTACATGATCAGTTTTCACAAATTTCATTTAACAAGTGTGTATACAGAGCTTTTTATGTGCTAGGCACAGTTCTAAATGTTTTATGTTCAGTCACTTAATTTTCATAACAATCCTAGGAGTTGCTACCTCTCTTTTACTCAGGCACAAGGCAATTGAGTAACTTGTTCAAAATCACATAAAGAGTAAATGGCAAGGCTGGGATTCAAACCCAAGCAGCTTATTTCAGAATCTGTGCTCTTAGCCACTTTATAAACCATCTCCAGAGACATTGCTGAATCCATTCAAACAAACAAACAAACAAAAAAACACTTTTTTCCTCCCCCACAGTTCTAACCTCTCAAAGCCTCATCAACTCCCTGCCACAGTTCTCTCACCAAATGGTCTGGTTTTTATGGCCTAAGACTTCACTGGAAGTTAATTTGTAGTTAGAAAAATCTTGTGGTTGATTTTGCAACAGGTTTCAATGAGTCATTTGAAATTCTTCACAGATTTTCGAGTTTACGTTTTTCTTGCTTGATAAATGTAGAGAGACGTTGCTGGCCTTACATGTAAAGGTGACTGTGGCTGGAAGGGAAATGAATTATTCACTTCAATTAGCTGTGAGTCTATTATTAGTAAACTCCATTATTTCGTTTAATCCATTTTATTTCTTGCAGCTTCTCTCATGCATTTTTTTTTCAACTGAGTGATATATGCTTCAAAAATAATCAAGGTAATAGGCCTATGTAAGAACCACACCTATGACCTTGAAAAATTATCATTTATATCATGAATAGTTTGTGAAATAAAATGTGCCTAACAATATGTGGCCAGGTTATTGGCTTTGCAAGGCTTTTCCAAGTCAGAGATCATAGAGCCCGTATTTTCTCCTTTGGTCTTCTGATTAGTTACAACCTTTGGCCACAGAATGCTCTTTCTCTGCCTATCCCTTAATCTTGGTGCTTCTCTGGTTTGGTCCTGGGGCCTCTTTTCTTCTCATCTCCCTACTGAACTCATTCAGTTTTATAACTTTATTATCTATTCATATTGCAAGCAGGGCAGGTTTCATGGGCATACAAACAGTTCATTCACAGAGGGTCCTGCACGCAGCAGGGCTTAATGCTTGGGGTCTTAATGCTCTATGGTTGCTGGCATAAAATTCTTAGTAATGTTATCTTTGAATTTTTGATTTGTAAGTGAAGTTCAAAGAAACAATGGAGCATGCTAGAGTTCACATGCAGTCCTGCCTCCCTGGGATAGGTTCTCATTGCCAGCTCCCCCCATTCCCTGGCACCTCAGCCTTGCCCTCCCACCTCTTTGCCCCACTCAGGACCAGGACCACCAGGACCGGAGGGACCTGGGCAAGTGCACAGGGAAGGTCAGGGTCATGTGTATGCACCCATGATATCTGAGGGTGGAGCATGCTGGCAGCTGTCCCTGCCCTGGACTGGCATTGTGCCTAACAACATGTGAATAGGTTTGGATTTGCAAAACTTTTCTAAGTCATAGATGTAGAGCAAGTATTTGCTCCTTCAGAGCAATCAGTGGGTGACTCTGGGGATGAGCCCCCTGCCCATCCCCTATTCAAGTGCATCCTGGCAGGGAAGTTGCAATCTCTTGGAGGTCATCCTTCAACTGTAATTTGGAGCACAGAGTCCATAGGAAGGGGGGAATACCTGGCTCAACTGTCCCACCCTCAGCCACAGCATGGTCTGTCAGTTCTACAAATTGGTGGAAGGGGGGACCTGGCAGCTGGTAGACCTTATATGGTCTTTGAACAACGGACCCTGCATTTTTATTCTGCACTGGGTTCTGCAAATTGTATAGCTGGCCCTGATTCTAAGATCTTTATTTCTAGTCCAGATCTATCTTCTGTGTTGCAAATGGTATATCTGCCTGCATGTTAGACATCTCCATATGGATATTTCTTAGACATTTCAAATTCAACAAGTCCAAAACTAAATTCATAATCTCTGCCCAAACCTGTGTCCTTAAATCCAGGAATGGCACAAACTAGTTACGAAAACCAATAATTTGAGAATCATTTTGACTCCTTCTGCTGTCTTATTCTTCATATTCAATCAATTGCTAAATTTGGTTGGTTATCAATTGCTACCTCCTGGAATCTCAAACACATCCTGTATTTGTTATCTATTGCTGCATTGCAGTACAACTGCATAACATGACATTTTAGCAGAGTCCTGAAGGAAATAAGAGATTAAGACATGAAACTACCTGAGGGAGTGGAATTTTAGGCAGAAGGAAAAGCAAATGCAAAAATCACGAGCAGAACTAGCAGAGGTCATGGCAACTGTGGCATAATAGAGTACCCCAAAATGTAGCAGCTTGGAGCGACAATAAACATATATCACACAGTTTCTGTGGGTCAGGGATTTGGGAGCAGCATAGTCAAGAGGTTCTAGCCTGTATTCCTTTGATGTTGTACTCAAGATGTCGGCCGGGGCTGCAGTCACCTGAAAGCTTGACGCATTCAGGATCTGCTCCTAAAATAGTTCCCTCTCAAGTGGTGCTGCTTGTTAGCAGGAGCACTGTCCCTTCCAAACGGGCCTGTCCACAGGCTGCTTGAGCATCCTCATTACATGATGCTGACCCTCCCACAGGGAGCAATCCAAGGGAGTGGGTGAGGTGGAAGCCACAACATCCTTTATAACAAAGGCTTGGAAGTCGTGCTTGTCATTTCTGCCATGGGTTACACAGCTCAGTCAGCTCTACTCATTGTGGGGGACAGGGATGGTTGGGAGCCATCTGAGAGGCTGGGCTGCCACGCATCTCCACTATCCCTGTTCTGATACATACCACTGTTAAAAAGAAAAGAGAAGAGAGATAAGAAGGGGAGGGGAGGGGAGAGAAGAAAGAAACAACAGGCCCAAATCAGTGATTTTTGCTAAGCCATATCACCAAACCAAAACTTCACAACTAACCTAACTGCAGTGTCAGCCTCTCCCAGGAGTGAAATTTTAAACCAATCAGTCTGGAATTTGCTGGTCAGCACTAAGGAGCTGATCTGCCTGATAAGACCCCCTGTCTTCCCACATGGGAAGGTGTCCTTGCCTGAAATAAACTCTCTCTTTTAACTTCTTAATTCCACCCTCTCTCTGCCTATAAAAACCTATTTTGTACAACTCCCCAGAGCACCCTTCTGGTTGCTAGATGGGATGCTGCCTGATTCATGAATCGCTGAATAAAGCCAATCAGATCTTTGCATTCACCCGGTTGAATTTTGTTCTTTAACATCACCATCATTTATTTCTAGTTATTGAGAACTAACTTTATGCTGGCCACTTTTCTGGGTGCTGGGGATTCGACAATAAAAACAAAAGGCAAAGACAGCCAACATCCCGTCCTTGATGACTTTCCATTCTAGTGGAGAGAGGCGAATACGTAAGTCCATGTCAGGAAATAGTGGGTATTAGTGAGAAGAACAAATGAAACACGGCAAGAGCAACAGAGAGCGATGGTTGGGGGAGGACTTTATATAAAATGGCTAGGGACAGCCTCTCTGATAAGGTGACATTTTAGCAGAGAACTGAAGGGAGGGAATAAGACAGGTAAGTCCCTGAACAATTTTAAGAAGAGGGAAATATAAGTGCGAATGCTTTGAGGACAAGCACGCTTAGTGTCTTTGGGAAAAGCAGAGAGGCCACAGCGAGCAGAGCCTGGTGATGGAGGGGGAGAGTGGTAGGAAGTCAGGGTTGGTGGGGGAGGGGGAGTGATCAGAAGGACTTGGGATTGTACTCTGAATGATATGAAAAGACTTTGGAAAGTTTTAAATAAGTGGGGGCGGGGGAAGCAAACTTATATTTTAAAAGGATCTTTCTGAATGCTTTATGGAAAAGAGACTAGAATTTAGAAGAGATAGTATAGAAGCAGGGAAGCCAGTTAGGAGACTCGTTCTTTCATTCAGACAAGGGATGGTGGTCTTCAACCAGAGTGAGAGTGGTAGATGTGGATTATAGATATGTTTCGAGGTAGATCTGAAAAGAGTTTCTGATGGACTGGATAAGGTTATGAGAGAAAAAGGGAGTTGAGGATGACTCCAAGGTTTTGAGCTGAGTAGGAGACTATAGAGTTGCTGTTTTTGAGATGTGGAGGACTACAGAAGAGTAACGGATGGGGGAGGTTTGGTTTTTGGATCCACAAATTTGAATTTGAGATTAGACATCCATGTGGAGTTGTCCAATGGTCAGGAGTTTGGAGGAGAGCTCTGCAGTGGAGGTAATAAACTTAGGACTGGATAAGACTGCTTGGAAAGTTAATCTATGTAAGGAGACAAAAGGTCCAAGAACTGAGCTCCAGGACTCTCAACTCCAACACTTGCATGGGGA